ACCTCAACCAAGTCAAGTCCCTGGGGGCCGGCTGCATTAAGCAGAAGGAAAAACAAGTTAGACCTAATCAAGAAGGAAGCAAGAGTGAGTTTTTACAAGCAAGTGTCCATACATCTAGGCGGCCCCGCCTGGGTTTTTGAAGAAGTTGCCGGCTGCTTCTCAGCCGCCACTGTTTTCCTGGAAGACCCAGGAGAGCTTGCAACAGTCGTTCTCCGGGCCTTGGGGTCCGGCTGTTGCGAGGAAGAAGCCCTTGGAGTGCCAGACTGAAAACAAAAAGAGTTAGTATATGCATAATACAACTTAAAGGGGAAGAGTTTTCAAAGCTTACCAAGGGTGCCTCCTTGCTGGGGGAGTCGGCGTACGACTGCTTCATTAGCGAAACCCGCAGCATGGCCGCCGCAGTCTTAGATGCTGTTATTTTACTCATGGCGTCGGCTGAAAGAAATAAACAGCAAAGTTAGTAAAAATCCCAAGTAAACAAGGCGTGAAAAAACAGAGTATTCGTCAGGCCGGCTACCTCTAGAGCACCGACTGCCGAGGCCACAGGCGGCCAAGAAGTACTCATCATAGAGCCACTTGAAGCTCGGGACGCAGTGTAGGGGTACTTGCTCTCGTACCCCTGAAGTAGAGTTCACCCTAGTCTCTACTTTGAAGAGTCCTTTGTCTAGGATCTCTCTTTTAGCCTTTGGGGGAACAGGCGGCATGCTGCGGCCGCCTGCAAGAAGAGGCGGATCCCTGTTCCACTTGTTAAAACGTTTGTTCAGCTCCGTGTCTGAACTCTCGATTATAAGGAAGGTGTTCCGCCAATCCTTCCATTTGTTTGCCTTACCTCTCGTCATGAGGTAACCCCTGTGGCTTGTTAGTTGATACCAGCCGGTACCTCCCGACTTAGGGGTCCGGCTGAGATAGTTCATGTGGGCGAAAGCCTCAAAACTTGGCTCCACCCCGTTCAGTTCGCACCCGGCCACATAGCCGAGTACGTTTACCCAAGAGTTGGGGGCTAACTGCCATAACCCCAGATCATACCCATCTAAAATCCGCTGAACAGCCGGATGTAATGGGAAGCGCAGACCAGCTTTGATGGCCGCCACATAGCAGCCAAAACAGCCGTCACCATAGCTGGTACCAGCCGGCCAGACGACAGTATCTTCTGGATCCGGCACAAACAGTAAATACTCCGGGCTCATTTTGTGGTTAGCAATAAAGCTCGCCACGTTGTCTCGCATGGTTGCGATCCGGCCCCGGGGCACCCTGCAGTAGTAGGGGGTGTTTTCCTCTCTGTAAGAGGCGGACGGCTCTGCCCAATTATCCCCCTTCTCCACTGCATGGGAACTTCTCGCCTCTTGTAGGCGGTTATGTTTTTCTTCTGAGTCAGAAGAACTATGGTCAGAAGAGCTGGAATCGGACTCGTCCCCTGACGAGTCCGAAGAGGACGACTCCTCCCCTCTCCTAGAGGGGCCCGCCTCCTCTCCCTTAGAAGGAGCAGAAGGTAAATTAGACATGTCCACGGTTAGATGAGAAGGGAACACCTTGGTCCCTCTCTCAGAACTGTCAGCTTGACAGTCGCCTCGTTCCACATCTGGCGCCTGGTCAGATGTTTCGCTAAGGAGTACCCTTTGGGAGGAGCCGTCTGAGTTTGATATTCTAGCAGTTTTTTTTTGTTCTGGCCATCACGTTCTGCATAGACACAGATTCAGTCGGACTTTGTATAAAGGGCAAAGATGGGTCCAGAAAAGGGCAGGCGGCACTCCTAGTCCTAGATTCAGCCGTCCCCGGTGACCGGCTGATCACTAACTTAGGGCGTGTCGTGTGCTTCCATGGTGCCATTTCAAAAAATAAAAAGAAAATTAAGAGTAAGAGAACTGAGTTACCTGAACGGATGACAGTTGATGAAGTCCTGAAAGTTCGGGTCAGTCGGCTTGTCAGAACAGGCGGTAGGCAGAAAAAGTCCGAAAATGTCAGATCAAGTTCAGGGGTCCGAATGTTCTCGCAAAAATTCTCAAATGTGAAAATGACCGAAGTCAGCACTTCCTTTTATAGGCAAAATGAGAAGGCGAAGGGTCGCTTCCGAATTCAAATTTGGGCGGGAGAGTCTCCCGGCCGTCTGCAAGGTGACACCTGTAACGGGCCGTCGCCTGTCACCGTGCGACGCCTGTCACAGGCGACACGTGACCAGTCGCGTGCCACCTGTGAGGGGCAAATGATTAGGGGATTTTTATCCACCAAGCGCCGTTTGACAAATGGACCAACCAGGTTCCGCCACGCGTCCTCCACGGACCACTTAAGACACGCCACGTGTCCACCCATGCCAAATGGGACAACCGGCCATCAAGGCCCATTTCAGTCTAGAAGCCCGATCGGCCCTAGGTTTACCTTAAACCTAGAGAGTTGCACGCTTCCCAAGGCTATAAATACTCGATTAATCCTCATTAATCAAAGGACCGAATAATTAACGGAACGGAGGAGAAACATTACGGAACACACTAATAACCGGCTGATCTCGCTAGCAAAGCAGATTACCTACATTAAATACTCTCACCTAGAGAGACCTTATTACTTTAATTTCTGTATTAATTTACTCCTTAATCAGGTACTAACTTGACCGTTGGAGGCGGAGCTCTCAGGAGTCTCCGTTATTTTGCAGGTACAGGCGTCCGGTTCCAGTCTCGGAATTGTAACTCTCCCGCAGGACATCAGAAAACCCCGAAACACCTTACCTTCCAAATATTTCTGTTTCATTAGCCACAAAGTACTGACTCTTTATTTCTCTTAAGCTCTTCATGTGAATTGGTGAATATAAAAAAGCAATTTTAAATTTTTTTTTTAATTCTTGTACAGTCATGTGAAGTCATTTTCACAAAATCCTTGTCTAATTTTCTCTCTCTAACTCAAAGGCCCCCAACACTTACTCAAACACCTGCCCATATCTATTGCCGCCCCACACCACCGGCTAACTGCCTGGATCGATAGTGTCGGCCGACTACCTGAATTTATTGTCGGTTTATTTTCGACCTCCATTTATAAATTTCTGGATCCACCACTATGATCAATGCGCTGAGCTAGAGCCTAAAATCATTAGAGCTTATCATATGCAACCTACTAAAGTATTTCCCCCTTACAATTACTATGCTTGGGGTTTTCAATTTGGGCATAAGTGAACCGTGCCTAGTTTGAGCCAAGAAATAATTATGCCGTGCTGGACTCAGCTCATACCAATCTTTCATAAATGAATCCCATGCAGTCATGCACGACTTAATTGCATGTGGTGCATGATGCGGTAGTGAGCCACCTAATAATACAAACACCAAAGCTTACCGCGCCTAAAATTAAAAGGATTGACTGATTCAAAACTCCCCCCCCCCCCTTATGAAATGAAAACTATGAATGTATGATGATCCCTCTATCCTCCCTATTTATTTTTCTCATTTTCAATATAAGGGTGTTTCTTAATAAAACCTATACTTTAGAGCATCAATAATGGGGATTTCTTAGGTGGTTCTTAAAGAGTGAGAAAATTTTAGAGTCAGTGAAATGAGTGTTTCTAGTTTGGAGTTTGCAATTGGTATTTTGAAATAAGACACAACTTTGACTAAAATGACATAAACTATTACTACTATTGTTGCATTTTGCATTATATATATAAACAAATAAAAAGCTGTACAAAACCTGCAAAAGTAACTCTTAGTAGGAGCTAATGTATTTACTTGGTTATATGAAGGGTTACTCTTATTAGGAGTTGTTAATGATGTGATGGCATAGGAGAGAGATTAAGAACCCCCATTTAAAAAAACTCCCCACTACTAATACTCCTCATTTAAGACCACTGTACTGCTTTACTGTCACACAAGTAACTTTTAAGTTTCACCATTAATCTCTCTCACCAATTTACTCAACCAAAACTTAGTCCTTATTTAGTTCACCTTATTTCAGGACCTTAAAATTTATTTATTTATTTATTTTAAGTTCAGATCAGATCTAATAAGAAAATACTAGTTTTGAACACACATTATTCTTTTATGTTCGATTTTTTAGCGGGAAATATCTTTAATTTTGTAATGAAATAAATTATGAAAATTAAAGTACACATTATTACGAATTTAATAAGACCACACTTGATATATTTTTCTTTACATATTAGCGTTCATAAAGTTAAAATTTGATCAAACTAGACAATCAAATCAGAATAAATAAATTCTCATCAAATCAATTTAGAACAAATAAATTCAAATCAAATCAGATAAATAAGAAAAAAAAGTTAACTAAACACAACGACCATCTCCAATGGTGAGACTCATTGGAGTTTTTTTTAGAAGAGAGAGAGTATTTTTTGTAAAGATACCAATAAGTTGGTATATAAACTTAGATACTCAAAATAAAAGTTGCTAAGTTTAAATATTCAACTTTGAATCTCAATTGACAAAAAAAGTAGGCCCTTATCAATTTTATATTGGTTTATTTATTTATTTAACTTTTAATGTTTTTGTAAAAACTTAAAATTGTTTATTTAATTGTATGTAATGGGCCTTATTGGAAAATGACATCAATAACTATAAACTAAGGGCGAATAAAAAATGACACATGGCAAAATCTAGTTAAATAATTTCCCGGCAATTTTTTATTTACTTCTTTGTCAAATTATCTTAGGAAATTTTTAATTCACTACTTGTATAATATTTTCCTACTTCACCAATATACGGAGTATATAAAGAAAAAAAAAATTAAAATAAATCTTCCATATATTTTATATAAGGTAATCTTTCCCTCCCAAATTCAATAAAGCAATTTTGTAACAACTTATAGAAAATTTAAGCAAAATATTATTATTAAAAAAGATATGCATACTTTTTAATATAGTATAAATTTGTACGGAGTATATATATCATACGAGTAATCATGTATATACAACTACTTAAAGTTTACTACGAAGCATTTTTTTTTTTTAAAAGAATATTGACCTTCCTCATACTATTTATAAATAGAAAAAAATTTATAAAAAATTGTTGAAATATAAACTTTTATAAAATTTGGTAAATCTGTGCATTGCACGGGACCATAAGCTAGTAAGTATATTAAAGAGAGTCTCACCATTAGGAAATTATGTATCATATGAATTGCTAAATTGAGAAGTGAGTTGGGTATTACCATAAACAAGTCATTTTGTATTTTAATACTCAAAGTTGAGTCTCACTATTAAACAAGTCATTTTGTATTTTAATACTCAAAATAGAAAATGGATACTCGTATAGTTGTATGAAACAAACAGTTAGATACGAAGGGAGTAGTCCGTAATTTGGCAACTATGATACTCCATAGTAGTTAGTACCATAGTCGTTACTGTAGAGAGAGAAAGACCCGCTCTTTAGTAGTAGAAGAGAAAAAGTAGATGAAAAAAAAAAAAAAAAATTAAAGAAAGAAAAATGATGTCAATTGAGGCGGTTTTCCTCCTACACTCCTTTCTCCGCCACTTCACCACGCCTCCTTCTACCTCCCTTCTTCAATTCTTCTATGGCGTTTCTAAGGTATATTGCTTTTCTCATTTTAATGGGTATTTAAGATATTTAATGTTCTCAAATTCAAGCAAGGTTTCTTGCTTCTTTGTCCCTGCATTTGTTGATTGTTTTCCCTGATTTTCTAAGACAATTTGTTCTTGCAATTTAAGCAAGAGTGTTCTTCTTGATTATTTTCTTTTATTGTAAATTTCCCTTTTTTTTTCTTCTTATATTGTAAATTGTTGTAATTAATGGGTTTACTTCGATTTAGTGATTTACCTACTGCTAATTTGTTGGATTTTCTGGTTGTGGACATCATTTAATAATTTAATAAGATTTTTCTATTATGTATCCTTGAACTTGCCATTTAAGTTTGATTGATTAATTTCATTATGCAATCTTTATTGTTTACTTGTCACTTGTCAGGAATTAAATTGGTTTTTTTTGTATTTTTGTCTTGTCTTCTTGTAAATTGTTGTCTTTGAGCTATTTTTTAATTTGTATGTTCGTTCAATTTGTTGAAGTAATTGTTCTTATTGAAGTTTTTTTTGATTGTTTTGTGATATTAGTCTCAATTAAGTTTAATTATAGATTGGGGGTGAGGGTTGGGTTTTTTTTCTTAATTCTTCTTTTCCTAGCAATTTATTGAAAATGGAAAGCAACATAATGAGGATTTATGCTGTTTGAAGTGTTCCGGGTTGCTCCACCTTTAATTCCTAGTTGTTGTAACTGTTCAAAGTTCATTTTCCTTGTCTTCTTTGGTTCACCTTTTGTCTTTGGTGTATTCGTTGATCAAAGGTGTACACTTGCCGATCCTTGCTTCTTCGAGGCTTCGTGTCCAATGGCTTCTTAAATAAGCCTTGTTTATTATTTTAGTTTATCTATTTTCTTGTAGTTCTGGCTTGTGGTTCTTTCCATGAGATAGGGAATTGCTGGTAGCTTTTGGTCTTTCACTGTTTCCTGTGACAAGAGACCATTAGCAATCGTTTACATTTCTTCTTTAAATAATTTGGCAACTACATATATTGAAACTGCATGATCTGACACCCATTTTCTTATGCATGTAGAGCATGGGAAATGTTTTTGGCAATATTGGTTTTGTACACAGCATGGGCATCTCTGTTTGAGTTTGGTTTCTTAGAAAAACCATCAATTAGAGGCCTTGCTATCGCCGATAACATTGTAAATGGATTTTTTGCCATTGATATCTTTTTGAACTCTGTCGCCTACATCGATAAAAACTATTATATTACAGTGAATGAGCGAAAGAAGATTGCTTGGCGATACATAAGAACCTGGTTTATTTTCGATCTTATATCAATAATCCCTTCGGAACTTGTGGTAACGATACTTCCGGACAATGTTCATGCCTATGGACTTAACACTGTGCTTCGTCTTTGGCGTCTTAGTAAAGTTAGTAAAATATTTTCCAGGTAATCTGTTTTTCGACTAAGGCTAATTATTGACTGAAGTGTGTACAACAGACACTTGTGCTCACTCCTCCTTGAAGTGTGCAAAAGTGTATGTTGCACACCAAAGAAAACAGAGGAAATATTTAACTTAGTTTGTTCATTTACAGGTTCGAGAAAGACCGAATGTTTAATTACAGTTTCATTCGAATCTGCAAAGCGATTTTTGTAAGTGGTATTGGAAGTTTTCATCGCCAATATTCTCTTAATCATTTAATATAAACATGATTAATTGCAAGTAAGTGAGTATTAGGTGTCCACGCTGAAAGATAGAGTAAAAGCCTTTCACTTTATGACACAAGTAGGCTACTCCTCCAGTCCTCCAATATTGGCAATGGATAGTTGATATTAGTATAAAACCTTACTTTAGGTGGCTTTGTTAATGGGTTTCTCCCCCTTGCCTCTCCACCGCCTGTTATAAACTTATAACAAATAACGATTCAACCTGAACAAGATTTTATGTTATCATTTTTGTAGGTGACAATTTTTGTGGTACATTGTGCTGCATGTTTTTATTACATCCTGGCTACCACCTACCATGATCCAACAAAGACTTGGATTGCTCTTTCAATGAAGAATTTCGAGACCGAGAATGTGTGGCATATGTATGTGGTATCCATGTACTGGTCAATGAGTACGCTAACGAAAGTTGGCTATGGCGATATTCATCCTGTGAATACAAGGGAGAAGATCTTTGTCATCTTTTACATGATCATTAGTGTTGGATTGTTTATATATTGGGTAGCAATTATGACAAGCTTAATCAGTCATCGGATCAGCGTAAACATGAACTTCGTAAGTATACATTTTAATTTTTTGTTCTACTCACTTTGCTTTATTATTCTATGTTTGACAAACTATCCCTGTCTTCAAAATCTTTTTACCCTGCAATGTGTACACCTTTTGCCACTGCCTCTTCTATTTTATCTAGCTTACATCGAGGTCACTTGCTTTTTTTTTTAGCAAAAGTTTCTTGATCTTAACTGATTTATTATATCCTACTTAGTTCAACACAATTGAATTCTTATATTTAAACAAAATAGCTAGAGTTAAAATGATATTTATGACTTACATATGTATGGGGTTCTTGAATGCTAGAGGAACAAACTTCAAGCTGCTTCGAAATTTGCTAAAAGGAATAGGCTTCCCGTTTGCCTCCAAGCTCAAATAATTAGTCACCTGTGCTTGAAATACAGAGTTGATTCAGAAGGGCTACAAAAACAAGAGGTTCTTGAATCCTTTCCTAAGGCAATTAAATCAAGTATTTCACATTTTCTCTTCTACTCACTACTTGATAAGGTATACTTGTTTCGCGGGATATCAAATGACGTATTTTGCCAACTGGTATGTTTCCTGGATCATCACTTTTAATCTCTCACGGCTTGTTTGGTTGGCAATGCTAATGAGATTATAAGTAATTTTATTAAGAACATGCTGATGTCTATGCTAATGCTGATTTATCTTTAAACACTTTAATCATTTATTATTATCTAATGTCATGTGTTTCCATTTATTAAGAGGAAATATAGACTGGTGATGAGAAGTTATAAGAAAAATTGCATATAACTTTGTTACCTAAACCACCATGTAGTTAATATTTTTTCTTGGTTTAGTTCATACAAATAAGTTTAAATAAGTTAATATTCGGGTTAAGAAAAAAATAAATTCAGATGAGTTAGGACATAATAATTTACTCCGTATGATACAACAAAAACAAATTCAGACACACTTACTAATAACTTCTGCTCCAATAAGTTCAAATAATATAAGTTCAGAATAGTTTGAGTACTGAAGATAAAGTCACACAAAATTAGCTGAATAAAATAGAGCCTAAGAGGCCATCTTCCAGAGGGGTTATAAGGAGTTAGTTAGATGGACTAATGACAAGCTTTAATCATCTTCGCATCATGAACTAGATTGATCAGCCATTCCTCCAACATGCACCTTGTATTCTTGTTTTGTTGTTGCCTCTTTACTGACATAGATTAGAATTGTATTATAATAATACCATCTCATAATACAAGGTTTCGGAGGTGAAAGTGGAGTACTTCCCTCCCAATGAAGATGTAATTTTGCAGGATGAAGCACCTACAGATCTTTACGTGGTAGTTGCTGGTGCAATGGTGAGAACTACCCATAATATTGTTATTGTTATTCTTGCATTTTTTTACCTCAAAGCACATAAAACATTTAAACACGTACATTATTTTTGGCTTTTAACTTACTTGTATTCCTTGCAGAAATTAATTGTTCGCAGACAAGGAGTTGAAGAGGCAAGATTTTTTTGTACATATAAATGGGTTTGATTTGCGAATTCAACTTATTTTTAAGCCCTCATTTTATATAATCGACAGGTTGTTAAAGAGCTTAAATCAGGAGATGTTTGTGGAGAGCTAGGTGTTGTTTGTTACAGATCACAACCCTTTACTGTTCGCACCAAGAGACTGTGCCAGCTGCTGCGTTTAAATCGTACTGTCCTTATGAATCTTGTTCAAGAAAATGCTGGAGATGGACAAATTATCATGAATAATCTCCTAGAGGTTTGTACAGAATTATGGGGTTATGGGTTTTATATGTTGATTACATTGCAAAACAAGATAATTATCATGACACAGGTTTTATATAATTCGTATATTACATTGTGTAATTAGCAAATACTGAGTTAGAATATGCCTTGAATTAATTAACCCCATCGAAAAGTTTGAAGACTATCCCATGGGTTTGCTTCTTTCTTTCTTAAAGGGAGTACTACATAAACTCCATAGGTAGGTTTTACATTGCTTTGTAATATGTAATATGATCAATAAAACTCTTTTCTCACAGTCATCTGTGGACGATTTAACTCATCTTTAGTGAACCAAGTAAAATTTGTATTCTTGCTTGATTTTTTCGTTAATCTTTCTTGCATGTTACGTAACATATTACTGGTACTTTAGCGTGCATATGTAAGAGTACTAACACCAATTTTCTTGTTGGCACAGCATTTGAATATACAGGATCATCCAGTGATGCAATCTCTAGTTATTGACATTGAAAGAATGTTAGCTCAAAGTCAAATCGATTGGCCTCTTGGTTTATTGTTTGCAACTGCAAGAGGAAACAAGCGGTTGTTGCAACTTCTGTTAGAACGAGGCTTCAATCCAAACGAAAGAGACACAGAAGACCGCATTGCTCTAGTATGTACATAATGCTACCTGTTATCGAGAACTCGACCTCTTGTATACTCTTTGAAATTATATCCTATATATCTTTGGATATTGAATTGGTTGTGAAAGTAGAATGTTGATATTCAGTCTTTTCTGCATTCCTTTTCTGTTACTCCTTCTCCAGCACATTGCAGTTGCAAATGGAAATGAAAATTGTGTTGCTATCCTGTTGGCATTCGGAGCAGATCCAAACATTAAAGGTGTTATTTTAATTACTTACAAAGCTCTTTTAGGTGCTATTACAACATTCATGTTATATTATGCACTAAACTTACGTGCAGTAACAGATCCAGAAATTTTCCATGTACACGCTACTTCTATAAAAAAATGTTATCAAGGTGTTGATGAGTCAAACTTGACACCAGTGAAAGAGTGTCACATTATATGAAGACTAATTTTTGTTGTTTTCATTTACGAATTTTTTAATTATATATTAATTGTAATTTATAGTTATAGAATTGAGCTTGCATTGTAAAAAATAAATTCATGCTCATCATAACTCACATATATTGTATTTTCATATGTAGTCGGCCCCAACTTTGGGATTAAGGCTCTGATTGTTGTTGTTTGTATTGTATTTTATTTTCATAGACTCGAAAGGGAACGTTCCATTATGGTATGCAATAATGGAGAAGCATCCAGAGTCCTTGATCAAGTTACTCTTAGATCATGGCGCTACTCTAGCTTCTTGTGATGCACCTCAATATGCTTTCTTTGCTATTGAACAAAACAATCTAATGCTACTACATGATATTGTGCGGTATGGTGGAAATGTAACGCTGCCTGTAAGCAACGGAACTACACCACTTCATGCTGCAGTTTCCAGAGGAAACCCTGCTATTGTTAGGTTCTTGTTGGAGCAAGGGGCTGACATAGACAAGGATGATGAAATTGGGCTGACACCAAGAATATTGGTAGATCTTTCTGGGAACGAAGAAATTAAAGCATTATTTGATGTTACTCCAATTCCTAGTGCGCATGAGATGTCTAACGTTCACAAGCACCCTAGAGATCGTGGTAATGTACTTCATAACGGACTGCTCGGAGTTTTATCTACTTCTGCTAGAGGTGAGTATTATTGGTGCATGATCTTGTATTGCTATATGTATTTCTATTCCATTTCTCAAACATGATTTGCGTGGACTTTTTGGACATAGCCTTTATGATAGCCTAGATTGTATATAGATGAGCTAGGTTGAAGGTTCATATTCCTATCTACTTATTGATAATTTAGAATGGTACGGGACGGAACCAATCCTGAGGCCGCATGGTAGAGAATATATGCAGAATATAATGAGTGTTTTTGTATCCTTACAATTATGTATGTGTAAATTCTCATTCACCACCAATAAAGAGTTAGACTGTATATTAGACCGCTATCATGGATGCTTGTTAGTTACTCTCCTTTGATGGTTATTACAGGATGGTGTAGGCCTTATGTTGGCCTGAACCATACCAATTTGGTATTGTAGGCCGTAAAGCCCCCAGCCAGGTATTGTAGTATATTTGGTACCATTACAAATGTGTCTTACAATAATAATGAACCTAACCCTTTTCAAAAAGTAGCATGTATACTTGGTTTTATGTGAGTTCCAAATTACAAAACTCTTATTTTTCAGGTGAAACATCTGCTCTTGTTGACAAATCCGTTAGGACTGGAAAGCAACCTGCAAGAATAACACTTAGATGCCCAGAAAAAAGTGAGGTTGTGAAGCTCGTCATGTTGCCCGACACAATTGAGGAACTACTCGAAATTGGTAGCAAAAAATTTGGATGCTATTGCACTAAACTATTATCAATACAAGGAGCCGATATTGATAAGATTGATTTTATTAGAGCCGGCGATCAGGTTTCTCTTGTATGTGATAACAAAAGCAATGTGATTCAAAGACAATAGTACTCCTCAAGTATGTATTCTATTGTTTGGTCCGTACAATACTGGACTTCTATAAGACTTATTGTTTTTATTTTTTATTTTTTTTTTTGGTTTGGGGCTTTTGCATTATTTACATATTGTCCTTTGACCATCTTTCATTGTATATACATAAGGAAAGCATATTCACGTGGGTTTTTGTTAGTGTATGTAGTCTCAATAACGTCTACTATCATACTAGCTATAGAGGATGAAATATATGGATGGTTAAATTTAAGCATCACCAAACCGTGATAACTGAAACAGAATAAGTAAAAAGGAACAGGAGAAGTTTATTTTGGTGAGTATTTTGAAACCAACCACTTCACTTAATTTGAACCATTTGACATGTTAATTAGTCCCTGACATTAACCTTAATGAACTTGCTCCTCAGGTAAGCTCTTGGCTTTGGTCAAACTCTTGGCTTTATGGCTAATTGGCTAGAGAAAATGAGTCCAGCTAGGATCATAAGATTCATAACTGGAATTTATAGGTCTTGATTCGGGCTTTAGCCACTTCATACTCGTCTTGGTTTGGACTTTAGCCACTACATACTCGTAAAGTCTGATCTCTAACTATTAGCTGATAATTAAGCTCTTTGGGTGAGTAAATCGAAGCCTATATACTCCTAATCTTAGTAATTCGTGCTTGATATCTCAAGTTTCTCAACTCAAGCTAGCTATATCAAGAAGGCATGTAGCTAGACAACTTCATGCAAATAAGTTGTTTCTAGGATTCTAGATTTAAGATCGATCTTTTGGTCTATCACAATTTTGTATAGCTTTACATTTCCATAAAACCATTACTATTGATACTTAAGATCATTAAGAAATTAAACCTTGTTTTTTTAAAGGTCAATCCATCTTAACCATCCCAAAATCCTCGCTTTTGAGTTGGATCAATCTTGGTTCTTGAATAATGTATAGTTGATTTCAATCTTGTTCTTGATAATGTTTTGAAGAAAGTTGGTGATGTCAATTGGAGCTAGAACGAGTTGAAGTTTAGATCATTATTTGGTTGGGTTTATGTTATTGCTTCCCAAGTTGGCTTTTTACTCACATTTTCCTAAAATTTATCCTACCTCTTTACCTTAGCCCCATTACAAGCTTATAAAGTCCTTTTGATCGGCATGTGTGTTTTGTGATTGAGTGAACATTATTTCTTACTATCGTCATGTTACCCTTTTGTTGCATCAAATATTTATATTCTACAAGGTGTGCGGCGACGAGGACTATAGCTTGATTGTGAATTCGTATGTGGCTAAGTTTGGTTTCAATTGTGATCATGATGTTGAGTGGTTCTATTTGTATCCGAGCTAGATTTTGGTCTTAATAACTTTGGTTTGATTGTTTGCTCGAGAGTCAAGTCGGTCTTATTCTGGTTCCCGGAAGTCTTATCTGTCTTGTTTCTCCATCTTGATTTTAGTGTTGCTTGGGGACTAGAAACAGTTTTGCTTGGGGCACTTTGATGAGTCATATTTATACAGAGTTTATAAGCACGTTTATTCTGGTTACCGGAAGTCTTATCTGTCTTGTTTCTCCATCTTGATTTTAGTGTTGCTTGGGGACAAGCAACAGTTTAGCTTGGGGGACTTTGATGAGTCATATTTATACAGAGTTTATAAGCACGTTTTATGTACCTTTATAGTGGCTTTTTAGGACTTTTAGTCGCATTTGAATAATTTGTTCGTTTTGTGCTCTATTACGCTTTGTTTGTGTTTTCTTAATGTTTCAGGTAGATTTATAACTTTTTTGGACGCTTTCGGAGTGGTTTTAGATGAATTGGACATGAAAGGATGAAACATCGATGAATCGAGGTAGATCAAATGATCAATGAAGGATATGTGTTTGTGGAAGCTTATGTTGTGATTTATATGCATGAGGAATGAAAATAGCATCCACATAAGGATTCTTATGCACTTTTCAGAATTGAATTTGAGTTTGAAACAAAGTTAAACGATGATGAACAATATGTCAAAACAGGCCTTTGCTCACTTTTTTGATCATACTTGAGTTTTACATATTGGATTGCAATGATTCAAATTGGGTTGGAAACTACACTTGAAGAGCCTTCCAACAATAGGTCACATGCCCCAATATGATCCCTAGAACAAGAGTTATATCCCCCAAAGCTCGGCACTCCCAGCCAACGCGCGAGCTTTCGCTTGGCCCGCTGGATATCCAGCGGCCATTGGTTTGAGCGTGAGTAGCAGCGCAAATTTTTGGCTGAAGTCGCGCTCAACTAGCGCTGGGTGAGGTCGCGCCTAGCAAATGAACATTATATTTACTAAAAAAAAGAATGAACATTTACTAGAAAAAAAAATGAACATTTATTTCTGAACATTGTATTATATAAAAATGAACATTTATAAATACGAGTAAAATAAAGAGACTATGAAACTAGAAATAAAAAAAATAAAAAAAAAATAAAAAAAAATAAAAAAAAAAAGAAGAAGAAAGGATTGTACATTTTATATTATATAACTGAACATTTCGGTTGTAAATAAAATGATGTTATTGCTTATTCATCAACATTTTTTTAACCTTCAAGTTAAATACCTTGATTTGTTCAATTCTCTTTTAGTCAAGGGATATTACTTTTCCCTTAGGCCTTTTATACCTTTTATTTCTTACGTTCGTGTTAGTTTTCTCTTTAGCCCTAGTTTTTCGTGGACAACTCCATGGATCTGTCCTTGAGTTTGTACTTTAATTTTGAGGTAATTTTATTTCTTTACTTTAATTATGCTTTCTTTATTAGATTTAGTTTTGATTATTTAATTCATGCTTGAGTAGTTTATTTCTAGGGTTTGAGAATCCACGTTTATATTATGAATCTTGATTGATATTATTGGTATATTGATTTCTCTAATTGATAGTGTTTTATTGTTAATCTTGCAACCTGGTCAATTGTTTGATTAATTATTGTTAATAAGAGTTTGAATCGAAAGATCTTACGTTTATATTAGAGGCTTACCTACAATTAGCAATTTTGATTATGTGAGCGACCAAACTACATATGTTGAATTGAGAGCTTTAAGACCTGACCGTAGGCTTAGCAATTGCTCTTTATAATCGATAAATTGACTTGTTATTGATATTTGATAGATTTAGAAGTATAAACATGGTGAACCATAACCCTAGGTTTTTTTTGTTATTAATTGTTTTATTCCTATATTAATTTAGACTACTTTTCTATCCCAACTCGTGGTATAGGTTAGTTTCTCCATACCTTGAAAGCTAGATTGAATAGCTATCTCTCTGTGGATTCGACCCTACTTACCCTACTACATTGTTAGTTGGTTTTGTTAGGAATTTATTTTTGACAGGTGCACGACAACCTATCAGCTAACCAAACTTTCAGAAGGTCAATTAGTTGATGGGAGGTTGGAATGCTAATACCATGGTTGGCAAGTTGAAGGCGAAGGCAAATGTGTGAAGATACCTCAGGTCAATGCTTACCCAACCTTGTCTTTAACATTCGTTCACCTAGAATTCCAATCTTGCTGAAAATGCATGTTTCTAATAACTTTCTTTCACAAAGTTATGCCTTACCATTACTGGTGTATTCAACCCTGAAGCTCCAGCAGTTGTTGAGCATGCCCCAGCAGGCCTAGTTGCTGGTGTATTCAATTTTTCTGTTTGTTTTGAAACTGAGAAACGTATCTTTATGTGGATGGATCAAGTGATGGAAACAGCTAGATTGTATTGTTATTAGAATTTGTGTGTGTGTAATTGTCTGTCACTTCCATTTCTAAGTTTATCCTCAAAATTTCTAGAGTAGATTGCATTTGTTATCAATGTAAACCCTCACAACTTATGTCAGCTATATGATGAAACGATTAGAAATTTCAATTGCCTATTTCTTTTTTAGTAAATCTCTGTTACTCACTGTGAGAAACGTTTTTGTTTCTCACAGTGACAGTTTCGTAAATAAAATGTACCACCGTGATTAAAGTGGTACAATTTCTTCAAGGATGCATATAATATAAATCTATAATAATGCATGCAAGGTGAAAGATGAAAGATCAATGTGATCACTGATCTTTCAAGGCAGTAAAATTGTTTGGAGTCGAAGCTGATAGTTTGATTTTCAGAAAAAAGACTGTTATAAGATATTTAAGCAATGTTTCTACCGAACACAAGTAGTTTTGTCAGCAATAATGCTAATTACATGTAATTTCCACAGTTTCATGAAGCTCACTAAAAATCTCATATCAGAACACTATGTTGCTGAATCATGTTGCTACCATTACTACTTGATATGAAGTCCCTTAACAATCACACATCAGAACTTCAAATTAAGCTAATTACTACTTAATATGAAGTACTTAACCATGTTTTTGCTTGGCAAATGACATTCCGTCTTATCTCTTTTATCAATACCGTGGTCAGAAGACTATTTGGACGGATAAAGCAACCTCACTTGCCATTGGTGGTGCTATCATGTGGTCTTCGTTCTGCCTCAATCGCTGCCCTCACGTCTGGTGGCATCTATACTGTTAATCAAGGCATTAAGATTGCGCTCAAAAATGTCAAGCCTGAATATAATGAGGAAAGCTCCTCTCTTAACTATATAATTTGTATCTAGGTTTCAACATTTGTAAGATTGATCTTTTGGTCTGTCACAATGTTGTATTGCTCTACATTACCATAAAACCATTACTATTGATACTTGAGATCAACAAGAAATTAAACCTTGTTTATTAAAGTCAATCCATCTTAACCATCCCAAAATCCTCTCTTTTGATAGTTGGAACAATAGGTTTATTAACAAAATGAATTCGCATTAAGATCATTCATTAAATCTCTACGTAATACTAAAATTGATGAATTTTAATTACCCTAGAAGAATGTCAAAACTTTTGAATCACTTGTAAGCCTAACTAAAATTAATTTCATCATACAATCAATTAACAAATAACAATATAAGAAGTAGCTCGTCAAACTAAGTAAAAAATACAGATTTGTTATTTCAAATTTAAAATTATATTTAACATTATAACACGTACGGCCAGATCCATGTCTTAAGCTAACAAATAATGCATTGTACTAGATATAGCCTA